CAGGCGAGATTACAAACTAGCCAATGATTCAGCTTCACTTCCAGTCACAAGTAACCAGTGAGAAGGCAGCCAGTTTGCTTGACATGAATTATACACTAAATGCTTCTCTCTCTCTCTGAGATATGCTGACCAGAATACCTGCAAGATTCCCGTCGGAACGACTGGGCTTCATACAAGTAGCTTCAGGAAAAGGCCTATGCCAGTCGATGCTTTCCTGACTAAAAAACAATGTTCTCACGGGGTTGAGGCCACCGAGTAGCGGAGAGCCCCAATGAAGCTTCACATTTCGGAACCTCCGATGAAACCAACCGCTCAAACGTCCGTGCTTTTTCTTCCCCCCCCCCCCCCCCCGCAAAAGCGAAACGAACCGCGCCCTGCGGAGGGATTGAACTGAACCACCTCTCCCACCATGATCGTGTCTGGCTCAGGGATGATCATCACCTGAACGCAGCTCCAGGTAACAGCGCTCACCCTACCAAGTGAATAGTGGAGAGATCTAGTCTTCCGCACAAATCGATGGCAATGGAATCCATGCACGCTTTGTTTATGATTTCATTCCGTCGTTGCCCTCCTAATTCCGAAAGCAAATCTTGGAACACCTCACTGTTCCTCCAGAACCCTCTTGCCATCAAACCTCATAGCCAAATAAGCCTCACGCAAAGGCCAAAGCAAACACATGCCACCTCCCTTTTGTGAAGGGATGCTATGGTCTGAGCAACATGCGATTGTAGGCTCGCTTTGCACGCAACGGATTGCTCTCAAACTGGCGTTTCGCACGCCTCACAGGCGTGTGAGACAGACACATGTTTTGTCACGATTGGATCGGAGTTATTTTTTTGCGTTCACCATTTCTTGCAAATTCAAGGTATCAGCAAACAATGGAACACATACATTGTGTTTTGGCTACCGTGCCAGCAGCTGTTGAGAGGCCCTTGAGGCAACCCAGTCTAGAATGCTGAACAAATGCACAAAGGCTTACAGAATCTCAAGAAAGTGAGGCAGCTCTTTGTCCACAGGCGTGTGCCGGCCTTGAGACGATGCTTCTTTTAGGTATGTTTGAGGGCTTCTTTCCGTTGGGGCTTGAACAATGGACCCAGCAGCCCGACTATTTATCACCCAAAGAAGAAAATGGAGTATAGGCCGGGGGTGGTTTTACAATCCCCAATCGATTTGGCTTTGGAAAGGTACTTCACCGTCTTTTCCAAAAATACGTTTTTTTTCCGCGTTTCTACCCGGACACATCAACACATCACCCACATTCAACAGAAGTGCTCCTTCAAACGGAAGGGAGTTACTCTTAAAGTGGCCGGGCCGGGTCCTGTGAACATTTCCGGCTTAATCTGCAACCTATCGCCATGTGGTTGGAATATGCTGGATCAGAATCCATGCACGCTTTCTTGCGGCAAGCTCACAACATGTGTCACATAAAACACGACACATCTGTAAACCGCGTCATGTTGAGCCTCAATTCCAAAACAAATGAGACCTATCCATGGGTCAGCTTACTGAGCTCCTCGAGTAGACGAATCTGTGGAAAACGTCGGCTCAAGGCTCCAAGTAATGTCTCATTTCGGATTTGTCCGCGACCACACCAAGCAGAGGGGTCCAACTAGCACGTCTCCTGCTTATTTCAACAGAAGCCACCATTGCCTCCGAACACTTGCCAAGTGGCCGATCACCTTCTAGATTCAGATTGGCGAAAAACATATCAACCTGCGTTTGGCCCCTCAAAGACATCAGGTTCGCGCAAACAATTTTTATCTTCCCCAACCTGACGGGTGGTGAATTGTGTTGCGCCAACCTCTTGCTTCAAGTAAAAAATGATTTTGGCCACTTTTGACGCAAGCTCCTGGTGGCTTCCCTTCGCTTCCACCAAAAAAGGATACCAGATGCGCGCGAGATCCCCCGATGCCCGCTCCATCCGCAGTTTTTCCCCGATCCTCCTTGGCAAAGGGGCGGCCGCCCTGCGCTAGCGCCAGGGTGAAGAGCACCGAGGACCTGGCACGGCTCAAACGAAAGGCCAAGGCGGTCCTGTTCAAATCTCTTCTCTTTACCTGGAGTCTGCATGACGCGAAATACAAATGGGTCAATGACCCCATTATTTTGGGTAATGACCCCATTTTTCAAGGGTCATGGAGAGTCCAGGTAGTTTCTGGTGCGATAGGTAGGGAATGTGGGAATGAACCGTTTGGGATTTCCTTAAAGGGAAACCACGAGGGATGGTTTATAAGGGTCAGGATAGAACTTCTCTTTGCTCCTCTCTTGCGATCGGTGCGAGAGATGCACGGAATGAGAATTGGAATGACCCAAGTAAAACCATCCAAAGGGTGGTTTCCGTTAAGGGGACCCCTGGGTTCATTCCTACATTCCCTCCTGAGCACCAGCAAGTCTTTGCTCCTTTGGATCGAACCCCAATGTCCGTGGTCCTTTTTGGCTCGCTGACTCATGCGAATTGTAACCATGGACATATACGTTTCATCTTTGATTTTGTTGGATACACAATGTAAAGGAGTCCGCACAAGAAGACAAGGAACACAAGCGACCAACAGCACTGACCAAAGCGCAAACTGTATCCCAGGGTTGGCCTTTTCTCCACTGGACACCTCGTCAACATTGTCAACCTGAAACAAAAGACGTTGCTTCACTTCACACAACGCCAATCAAAGGAAGTCTGGGCGTGTGTCCTCGGATTGGGGCTTGTTTGATATGAGCAGCTGACAGGACCAGGCTGAATTGATACAATACCCTGATCAGTTTGTCAGTTTCTGCAATGTGAGGTCCAATGTCCATTTCCTCACAAGGATGCCTATTTTACCAAAGGAAGCTCCATCTCCTCAAAAGCATGTCCATTTCCTCAAAAAGGATACCCGTTTCCCTCAAAACACTGCCATTTCAAGCCCCCATGTGTCTTTCGCTCCATCAGAGGCCTTGTCCGAACCTCCAGACTGAGGTCCCAGAGCAAAGGCTCAGGGTCGAACAGGGTAAAAAACCAGGCTCCGAGTGGCGATCTACACCCAATCCAATCGCGGCAGACAACAAATATCAACCCCTCTCATGAGGGCTTCGGGACTGTCGTGGGACTGTCGCGGTTGCTCGCGAGAGGTTCTGAAGCCATGACTTGCGAATTCGATGCTGGTTTACGCGTTCGCAAACACAGGGAAGCCGCAAATCGTGCAGAAGTGCGCAAGCTGGAGTTGAAACTGATTGGGCGACATCTGGGAACCTGGAAGGAACAAAGCAAAGCATGGGTTGGGTTTCGGGGGCATCGGCGGACGGTGGGAAGTTGCAGAGGCCCCTTTCGCGACTAAGTAAAAATATGTTCCTATGCCCCTTTCGCGAACCATTTCGTGGCCAAGCAAAATTAAACATGATATTTTGTCACGAAAACGACTTCTAAATACTGTGGTTTTAGAACGCTGTCCATGTGGCTTTGGCCTTCAACCCATTGTGGCAAGGTAAAGCAATGCACCTCCTATGCGATCAAGTGTTGATCCTCTTGTTCATATCCCGCCCTTTTCTTTCTAAGATGGTTGGTTTCATCGTTGCCCCCTCTGCAACGGACCCCGTAAACCGTCCCTAGGTTTGACACAAAACCAAATGGCCTGCCTATTTGGCTTGTATGTCGCCGCGCCTTGCCAGAGTGGCGTCTCCTGACATGACCTGAATCCGCTGTGCCGCACCCGACGAAAAACCCGCTCAAAGTGGAAGCGTCCTTGGGCTCATGGTGTCATGTTCATCAAGCGAATCGACGCAATCTGAAGCCATGCTTCAAGTTCAGGAAGCAACCTGTACGCCCTATGCTTCCTCGACGACTTTTTGAAGAGGGGTTGTTCGACCCCTGTTTTTTGTGCATTGACAACCCCTATTTGATGACTTTGGCCGTTGGAGTCCATGTGTTTTTGTTATTATTATTATTATTTTTTTCCAAAAATTATGCCTGCTATTGCAACCTCTTAAGTAACCTTGGGAGCCACAAACTTTTCTGCTAGCTAAGAAAATTATTACTTCTTGATAGGGTCCTCGGGTCCCTTCTGTGTCTGCGCAAAGCAGCTGCTCCGTAGACAGAGCCTTCATCCTAGCAAACCATAGAACTTGCCTCTGCAATTTGCGCAGGCGGCACGAACAACAACCAATTATGTGCTTGTGTTTTCCGTTTCAATTTTCACACAGGTCCAAAGACGACGTGACCGTAGACAAACCGTAGACAAACCGTAGACAAACCGTAGACAAACCGTAGACAAACCGTAGACAAACCGTAGACAAACCGTGGACAAACCGTAGAAAGATCATTTGTTTTAGCGTAGGACGACTACTTTTTGGCATAAAACCACCATTTTTGGGCATGAACAGGCAATTGTTGCAGGGGACCCAGAAATCCTCATCCTGGAATGGTTGCTGTGATGCGTAGATATTTGGCTGTCCTGTTCTTTTTGGCTGGGCTAAGCGGGTGGGCCAGAAGAAGGACAGACATGGTCAGAAGAGGATTCACCTTCGCCCGCTACATGGCCATGTTAAGAAACCAAGCAGCATAGAAGCCAACATTAGCCTGTGCAAATTGTGAAACGTTTTGCTGCATATATGTGTACACATATTCGGCTTTGGGATCCTATGTAGCGGCCTTAGCGTCAAGTCTTTCGTAGCCCTTGTTCCAGACCAAAACGGAGGCTGACGCTAGTCGTCCAAAAATAGTCTTTGTCAAAAAACCGGGGTTGTCGAAACGTAGATTTTTCAATAGGCTTTGGAAGCATAGGGACAGGAGGAACAAAACGAGCCACGTGGGATTGAACGAATTTAAATACTTCTCCAGGTGCAGTTGGTTGCTTTCTGTGGAGGTTTGGGGCAGTGCAGACCAATACTAGTCGAACAGACTTTCGAAGGTTTCCCCCGATCAAGTCAAGCTTTCTTTGGGAACGAGCTTTCTATCTCTTCCAAAGTCATCCTCAACAGCACGGGTGGACAGTTTGGACCGCTCTTTGCTGGACGCGCCACAGAGAATTCTGCCCATTCCGTGTCATGCAATACCCGTCGTGAAAAAGAAGGCATGCGTGTTTCTCAGAATAGCGGCCCTCTCCAAGTAGTGGGTTTACAAGGGCTTCCTTTTCCCCATACAAGCGTGGTTTTCCTCATGCGCAGAAACACCCATATGACTATGACTACGACAATGATGATGATGATGATGATGATGATGATGATAATGATGATGATGATGATGATGATGATGATGATGATGATGATGATGATGATGCTGCTGCTGCTGCTGCTGCTGCTGCTGCTGCTGCTGCTGCTGATAAGCCGCCCTGAGGCTGCAAGCCGAAGCAATGGGTTGCATCGGTCATACCACCGAATTGACAACAGTTTGCGTATGCATCGATATGCAATGGAACTGGGCACACGAACAACCCAACAGAAGCGCACTTGGGTGTCCCCTAAAATATGAAAATAGACACACACACACACGGCTGCCGGAGTTGAGTTGGCGGCCCTATGCTGGATCGCCAGTGGCAGATCCTTGGGAGTGAAGACCACCTCCTCGCTCCGAGCTTCCGGTGTGAAGACACCAACCCACAGAATCCCGCACCTCGCTGCCCAAAAAAATGGTTTCCTTTCGGGACAAAGCTTGGTCCACCCGTAAAAGGGTGGCAAAACCATTCACAAAGCGAGGATGATTCATGATGTTTCCGCTCCTACGACAGACCCATTTGATACCATTGGGGTCAAACCATATGTTTGCATTTGTGAACGAGTCGGTCAGCTGAGCTGCACCCAGCTCCTTTTCAGACAGACCCAATCCGATGAATCTCGGATCCAATCACCGTGCCAAAAAAGTTGCCACTAACTCAAACACCTGGATCCCTTCTACGCCCCAGATGTCCTTGCCTTCTATCTACACTCTCCCGGACAGAGCTGCAACTCCAACGGCATCTTGCTGATTTCTGCTTGCATTGCCGTGCTTAAAGAGTTGCACATCTCACTTTCCGTTTGTTTCAGCCTTGAGTCTTTGGCTCACGTGTCCTATGGGCCTCATTTGCCACCTGGGATCCGAGTGTGAGCCCGCATGGGGTTCCGTTAGGTAAGGAGCTAACGGGTAAAGCTTTGTAAACACGTCCTATTCAAAGCAAAATTCGGATGGGGAGAGTTGACGCGAATGGGTGTTTTAAAAACCGTTTCGGTGTCAGCTTGTGCCGCCTTGCTTGCACACCAACCCACACCTTGAGAGGAACGGAACCAAGGTGATTGTTTGTTGACTTCTCTGTGTGTGTGGGTTCGTGCGTTTCTGTGTGTGTGTGTGTGTGCGCGTGTATGTGTATGTGTATGTGTGTGTGTGTGTGTTTGTGCGCCTGTGGCTTTGTGTGTTTGTGTGTTGGTTAGATAGTTTGTTAGCCAGCTAGCTAGGTAGTTAGTTAGTTTCTCAGCTAGTTATTAGTTTGTAGCTAGTGAGACAGCTAGTTAGCGAGTTGAGTTGAGTTGAGTTGTGCTGTGCTCTGTTGTGTTGTGTTGTCGTGTCGTGTCGTGTCGTGCCGTGCCGTGTCGTGTCGCGTGTTGTGTTGTGTTGTTGTGTTGTGTTGTGTTGTGTTGTGGTGTGTTGTGTTGTGTTGTGTTGTGTTGTGTTGTGGTGTGGTGTGGTGTGTTGTGTTGTAATGTGTGGTGTTGTGTGCGTGTGCGTTGGTTTGTTGGTTTGCTGTTTGCTTCTTTGTTTGTTGTTTGTTTGCTTGTTAGTTAGTTAGTTGGTTAGTTTGTTTGTTTGTGTGATTGTTTGTCTGTTGTTGTTTGCGCACAGGTCACCACGCACCCTTAAAGGCGACGCGATGTGTCACCAACCCTATGTGTTTAGGGGTGACTCAACAGAAGAAAAACAAGTGCCTGGCTACAAGATCCCATGTTCACCAGCATAGGATTGCTGGACGGCCAAAATGGCCCTGATAGCCCCAGGGTAGCGGAATCTGGAGCGGAAACAAATCAGAGACGTAGGCTTGCGTAAGGCGTGTACTTTCCCTTATTATTTCCTTTCTTCGTCTTTTTCTTTTCAAACTATTCCGTGTCCGCACGCCGAAACTTAGATGGGCCGTTGTTTTCTCTGATTTTTCCCCGTAAGGAGGTTTCACTGCCGTGGTTAGAATTTGGTAGTGATGTTCGTTCTGGCAGAACCCAAAATCAAGAGGTCATAATCATGGGCTGGGGCAGAAAGAACAAACAATCGGCCTTTAGAAGGATGTTCCAGCAACTCTTGGAGAAGCTGGTCACATCATGGATCACCACCTCAGGATGTTTTCCTTTCCGCTCCTCTGGTACGGAAGGGCACAGGATGAGGCCGCCCTCCTGAGCTGTTGCTGGAAGGCTGGACACGGAGATGATTTGATAAGGTTCTTGGCCAAACAGAAATTCCTTCTATCCCACGTCGACACCTAATTTCCGCCTTTGAACCACGCAAGGTCCCTTCTATTTGACTAGCCGAGGCCATCTAACCCTGATCTTGTTCGACTTGAGTGGAGGCAAGGGTGCAAATTGCGAGACCTGCTCCACCAAGTGAATGCGGCACCCAAGAGACTCGGGTCTGTCTTAAAAACAGGCTAAACACCAGTTTGGATTCTTTCGGTACGGTTTGAAAGAAAGACAAAAAGGAAACCTACTATCTGGAGGAACCCTTAGTTTTAGACCTCACACAAAACCCCCAACGACACAGCATTGGGCGTTGGTCAAACTTACAGCCTCGGGCAGAAAAAACCACTAACAGGCTAAATTGAAGGCGAGCTGAGCATGGCACGAATCCCCTGAAACTTCACCAAAAGCAGACCGAGACAGAGCAACTCCCTTCCTGAGGTGGGCCAAAGAGTCCAAACTTGTTCACCACACCGGACTTCCCAAGTTTGAAGTCCAGGAAGTGACTGGTGAGCCTCAGTTGTTCAGTGACCCTGGAAAAAAGGGAGCCCTTTTTGGGGCTTGGACCATTTTTAGTGGGGCAGCCCCCCAAAAACAAGAGGGAAAAAGGACTTGGTGCCCAACCGAGAAGCAATTTAGCCCATCAATTCCTTCAGACAGAAATCCCGCCCGTGAGCGCGCCTGGCCGATCTCCTTGATGGTCCCCTGAAGCCGTGCACCTTCGGAGGCTTCGCCTCAGAGCCGCCCGCAAGGTATCCCAAATAGAAATCGATGTCTCGTAGGCACATGACCAAAGATGCAAGAATCTATATCCCTTCTCTGTTGCTTTCTGCTCCCCTGCAAAAAGTGACTAACTTTTAGTGGTTTAATGGAAATCCCATTAGTTGGCAAAAGTTGGAGTCCTAACATCCAAGCAAAATGCACCAAAGCCTTGTATTCATTATACATGTATATATATATATATAGATACATATATCTATGTATATATATATATATCATCCCTTCAGTTGCCCCGGATGGGACCAAACATGAACGGTGATCACCTTTTTGGGGGCGACGAAACATGGGACCCAACGGATGACACCAAAGGCGAAAAGGTCGATTCGCTTTGGGCAAGAGAGAAAGAGAGAGTCCCTTGTATTGAATAATGATAACAATAATAACAATAAATAATAAAATTAGGGACTCCCTTGTATTAATTATTATTGTTATTTAATAGAGAGTCCTTTGTACTAATAATAATCATGATATACGTTTGAATTATATATAAAAGAAACCATATCCTCCGTCCACACATGTCGTGAGGCCATGATTGCCAAGGCATACGTGCGCTGGGCGCCCCAAGCTCTCAGAGCTGCTGTTTTTTGGTCTTGAAGCAGAAAAGCAGCTACCTTCCTCCAACTAACCTGGCACCTGTCAGAAGGTACCTGGAAGATTCATTCCCTTTTGAAGGGAGCCCCTGTCAGTTGCCATGTTAGTTGGAGGGAGGGTAGACGTTCCATGGCTTCCAAGCATAAAGCTATCATTGGCGCCTTCGTCAGTGTCCATAAGTTCTGTCCAAATGATCTCAGAAGAGTGGCAACCTCAGGTTAAACCTCCAAGTAAATTCATGGATCCGGAGACCCCTTTCGCCTTTCCGGCCCTGAGAGGACAATACTCACCAAAAAGGTGTTCTCTACAGCTTGGTTTTCCTACAAGAGCCGCTACTCTGGCCTTTAGTTCCGAGATTCAAGGGCGAGGGACGAGGGGAGAGGGGACTGGAATCCCATACAGTTGTGCTAACACTTGTGGAAGAATTCAGATTCCTTCCGCCGGCTCACCATGGTGTCAACATAATAAGCCCTCCAGCGAAGCGCCAAAGGTTTATCTTGCGGGTGACGAGCCCTTGGGTGTGCAACCGGGCATCTGGGAATGCCAGAACGAGGTTGCGGAGCTCCATTCTTTAAGACGTTCACTACCCTCAAACTACTGCCCCCCAAAGGAAAATCGGGCGCATGAACACCATCTGGCCAGTGTGTAAAGATATGTAAAGATTGTCTGCAATGGTATCCCGAGCTCCATGTAGGCTCACGAGGCCCCGTGTTAACCACATTACCTCTGTAATTCATGACTTGAGATTGTTTTTTGCTCCCAGAATCGGCACACTCCTGGCACTTTCATGCCGAGCTGCAGCATTTTTGGGATGTTCCCAGCGGGGTGGTAAAGGGCTTGGCTACATCGAACTACCAATTCCCTCGTCTCCTTCAGTGGATAGTAAAAAAGCAGCTGCTTGGTAATTAGCCAGGTTCATGTGGGGTCGCGTATCAGCAAGGGGATGGTCCTCGCAATTCTGGACCTTGAAGGTACTTGTCAAGAGAAGCAAGGGCACACCGATTGTGAGGGACGCCCTGAACGCCCAAAGGGACCGATGCCCGCAAAGGGTGGGTAGCCTGGACATGACAGGTGCCACGGGTCAGAACTCTGGGTGCCGTGGTCATGGCCCTCTTTGGTTGTGGCATTGCTTGATGACCCTCAACCCAAGTAATCGGGTGCATTGACCATAGCACAGGCTCTGGGGGAAAACCATATTTTTAGTAATAGGGCATACTTGTCGTTAGGAGAAGGGGATTTGGGGGTCCAAGGCTTATCGGGATGTCCAAATGCTCATGGGCGCTCCAATGAAGATTTGACCGCCCAAGGAGAGTCAAAAGTACCTGGCTTGTCAGAAATTCCTTTTCTCGCGTTCCGGTCCGGCAGCGCCCCACCAGGATGCCAAAGCGAGAACTGCCAGTGAATTGGCAAGCGAAGAACGGCAAAGCGAATGCTCGCCTGCCCGGCAGCAATACAACCAGAGGTCCCGCTGCTGTCTGCTTCAAAAAGGTGGCAGCCCATCAGTACGCTGTTTCAGACTAAAAAACCAAAATGCAAACATCTGGATTGTTGTTTGCGTACACTTCAGACAAAAATTCAAAGTCAGCTGTAGCGACACAAGCATGCAACGGATTGTGGCCCTGTGCAAGCTGGTGCATGCTGCTCATTTGGTGTGGTCTCTCGAATAAACGGATGGATGAAGAGCAGATGTTCAGATCGGGAAAAGGGACATTCTGCTTGGACATCCGTTGCTGTGCCTGATCCAAGTTTGCGATTGCCTGAAACCACACTGGGCAACCAGTCGCAAAGCAAGGCAAACAGTCGGAACTCAGACGATAGCTCTCACTCCCGTGCCTTTTGTCATCTTGACTGATACGGGGTAACCAGGGAATCGCGCGTCACAGGGAAATTCAAAGAACCCCTACAGAACCCCCTGACCCAAGCTGTCTCTTATGCACAAGAAACTCGCTTGTCCAATATTCCCCAAAGGACCAGAACATAATAGATTGAATACAGCAAACAGGTCAACTGGCCGCAAGCACGTAAAGACAAGACCATGCCGAAATGGCCACAAACCACCTCCAAACAATGTATGTATATATATATATATATAACTACCTGGTCGCCAGACACAATCCGTTCAACTCGCCGAAGCAAGACCTACCAACGTTTCTGACAGCACGTGATGTCAGCGTCACTCAAACATCTGACTACTTGGAACATGCCCCCATGCTGCAAACGAACCCCTCACAGGTTGGTGTATTGCGGCCAAGCAAAAGGGTCTGCTTCTGCAAACGTGATTCCCCACGGCGCGCCGGAGTGAAACGTGTTGACAGGCACGAGAGGGTTGATTGCCTTGCAACTTTGCGCTTGCATATGACCAGTTCTGCGTTGAAGTGGGGGGGGGTCTTGCAGGCATGTTGATTGAAACAGTCCGAGAGGAAAAAGACACAAATCAAAGGCAACACACTGGCAACCAACTGATCTAGCAATGTACATATCAAGTATTTATATAAAACAAATACAACATACTCCTTGACAAGCAGAACAGGTATGTGGACAAACTTGCCATGTTGATCCCATTGTCCACACCAGGGCTGCATTGTCTCAAGGCCTTAGAGTGGCCCCAACAGTTTGTGTCAACCAATCTGCGATGAGAACTATTACCACACAAAGTAAGCGCTCCCATAAACGCGTTCGTGTCATCTGCAGTTTTTACTACAATTCCAAAAGCTGACATAAGGGATCCCCAAGTAAAGGACCTTGATCATGATGAGCTCGCTATACCCCCGGGGTGAGCTCGCTCGCTATAAAATAGGCAGTGGATGCCTTGGGGACATATGGGTAATTCTGAGCCTTGAAAGGATGCCGGGATGACGCGGCCCTGAGGATCCATGTCGGAAACTATCGAGCAACATGAAACAAGGGTTGTCAAATATATAGGCCTCCGCCCCTTTTGGGACCTTGGTTGAAAACCCAAGTTTTCGACGAAGACCACAACGTGTCGACACTGCCGTGGTGTGCGCAAAAATATATTAACGACTTCAGATGATAATTTATTTTTCGAGTCACCCGCCCTGGCGCGAGAAAAAAAACGGGGACATCAATTCAAAGTGACATCAGCTGTGGACCACCAAAAACCTTATCCGTTGCCCGTGTACCATCCACTGTGCCACTGCTTCCTGCGCACGCTTTCCGGCAGTTCCGGGACTCGCAAGCAACCCTCAATCCCTGGCGTCAGCATTAACATGGACAGGCTCCGGGCCTGGCAGCCAGCGGCAGTTGCTGCGCACGAGATGAGGCCAATGAGGTGCTTGAACATACACAAACCACCGCTAGTCAAGCACCCACTGTTACGGAAGCATCCACACATGTAGCTTGCCCTGTCGAAGGGTACATGGTCTAAAATCTCTCAGCCACGACCGCTAATCAAGCACCCACATGTTTTTACCTCGCCCTTTCAATAGCACACACCTTGCCAATTTGGCCTGATCACGAACATAAGCCAAATACCCTTGTCGCCGACGGCCTACTAAATGGATTTTGTGATTCGGGTGCCAAACAGAACCCCTTCACGTTCCAAGTGCAGTTGAGCGCCAAAAACACTGATCAGTGGGTCTACCAGCGCTGCTACAACAAGTTGATAAAGACACTCGAAAATGGACCCTGCAGGTTAGGACACTGGACCCTGTGCACTTGCATGCATATGGGAAGCAGCTCCCAACTCTGCTTGGGGGGGAAAGAAGCGGGGCTTGAAAGTTGACTTTGGCATCCTGAAGCCAAGCGGAGCATATTTGCCGGGAGAAGTGACGTCCCTTTCATAGTAATTAGTTTTCGTGGGAATACTTTACCCCATGGAAAAGACCCACTGGCAACGTTACTACCAGTACAGTTCTAGCTGTTTGGGAAGCTCACGACCCCACTGCGACAAGTGAACTGGTTACCCTGCCGTGAGCTGAAATGAGGATTCATTGACACGGGGCCCCTGTTTTGTTGTATTCAAGAGAACGAGAAGCATACGATGCCAGCCTTGCAAGTTGCCAACCCATTAAATGGATTGATCCAATCATTGTCATTTCTGGGGGAAGCGCGGTCTCATAAGTCAAAGAAGACCAAGACGAAGCGTTCCCTAGTTTTGACGGCCAATCAAGCGTATGGTTTTAACATGCTTGCAGCATGCTTTCAAACACCCGTGTAGGTCCCATGCGCAAGATGACAAACAGATTGCAATGACGGCGATTGCAAATGCCTTTCCACCGACATTCACCTGGAGCCCACGTAGGAAGCAGGTTTGGTGTTCCAGACCACCCAATGCACCTTTTGTCTGTCCAAACGATCCACAAAAAGGGAGCTGAAGATGGGTCCTGCAAGGTACCCAAGCAAAGTTCCTGGAACGTACAGCTTACCATTTGTTGCATCTGAGCATGACCTTCCCCCCGGAATCATGTTCATCCTATTCTTCCATCAGCTGCCTGGCTCTGACATGAGCTGCTGCAAGAAGTCGGCCACCTGCAAAACACGTGGGAGGTCCCATGCGCGGCTGCTTTGAAAACAATGGTGGCCGTGTTGAGCTGTTCTTCTACACCAAGAAACTGGCAAATCTCCACTCTCCAGACTCCCCCTGTCATCCAGAGCAATACCTGAGGATCTTGCAACATCGTGAGGGTGGCCTATGAGTCCAGTTATGATAGAAGCCTTTACCTGCCGAGTTGATGGGCCAGCACTGGATTGTAGAGGTGCAGTTTTTGACCACAAAACCGCATGCACCGCAAGGACAATGTCTAAATGCTGTAAGTACCCAGTCAGGTTAAAATGGAACACAAGGTGACAATCGCAAGGACCAAAAACCCCAAAAAACAAGTTGTCAAGACACAAAAAAGATCGAGGGCTTCAAATCACAAAGTCAGTCAGGCAGGCAGGCGGGCAGCCAGCCAGTCAGTCAGCCCATCACGCCAGTGAAATCAGCTTGGGTCGGATGGTTGATTGACATTTGGCTCGGCAAGATGCTGGGCATCTCGCATGCGTCTGGAAGCACGGGCGATGCTTTTGGCGGCTGATCTTTAGCCGTCAGAAGCGCAGCAAGATTGGCTGCAAGTATTTCGGTAGCTTCCGGACGGCCAAGCCTCAGGCGCCAGTCGAGCCTGCAGAGAAGTTACTGCTAAACACTATCTGCTAAGTTGGTGAAGCAAAATGTCGTTTTGCCGAGCTTCCCCTCAGGCTTTTCAGGGCAAAACAAGTCAAACAGCGTAGGAACAACCACGCCACCGGCCATCCGGCCGACGGCCGTTGTTGTGCCGGCACCGGACTTGGCCGGCAAACGCAACTGACAAACTGACTGGCTGGCTGATGGGCACGCAACAATGGTCCGCCTGGCTGGCCAATAAGTGAAGATGAATGAAGCCACTGCCCGTACCTCTAATTTCGAAGCTGGAATTGCACCGTGGGTGTCCTGAATATTGTAGGCGTAGAAAGACTATCGTGTATCAGCACGGCAACTCTGACTACCATTATTGGATGGCAAACACCACAATCCATCTTGCTTCAGATTAGGTCACTTTTTGATGTAAAGCGACAACAAATCACAAAGACGCGGTCTCCTCAGCTTTCTGTTCCTCCCCCTCCCCCCCTCCCGATTTGGACCGCTCACACAACCCCTCCGCACCCCAGCCCTTTTTGAGCGATCTCTTGGCGCGTGCCTCAAAGACTGCGTCATTGGGCGGCAGCTTTGTCAGGGCTTGACGACAGGCAGCTGCCTGGCTCCCAGGGCCCTCGGAAAATCAATCTGCCGTCTCTGCGGAAAATTCGCCGTGGTGTTTCGAGTGTACTACCAACCAGAAGCATGCTGTGAACAGGAACCAGAGATGGAATTAGCTTTCTGTAGACCACTACCTCGCTCGAGTACCCAAAACAGCTGCGCTGTGAACAAAAAGCAAAGAAAGGCTGGCTGCTTGTAAATAAACCTCCCCTACCTGCACTTTGCAGCGCAATGGCAAGGCAAGGCTAGGATCCAGCAGTCATCCAAACGGCCTAGAATGACAACGAAGAAAACAGCAAGTGAAAGGGTAGGGCATAAGAATGGCTGCCCAAAAATGTTTCCAGGACCTTCAAAAGACACAGAACCAGCCCCCATTGGCCGGCACAAGTCCTTTCAGCAACCCTCGAGCAGCAAAACATCTTGCCCGCGCGCCTGCTCAGCCAAGTCCTTGGCTGGTTGCCGATATTGTCTTTGGGCGACCAATGGGTCCTTCATTTCGAACTTTCACATGTCCTTGTATTCTCACTGGAACAGTGCAACTCCACCGTTTACCATTCTAGTCAATGGACATTTCGGTTCACGGCCACCAGAACGATACAGAGGTCCTGATTTCAGCCTGCAATATGTATGTTTATGTATATTTGTATATATATATATATATATAAGTTTGTATTCTTTTACGTTGGCCGGGCAGGAAAGATTGAGTGCGGGGTATGATTCGCGGGTATGCAGTAGCAGTAGCAGTGGTAGTGGCAGTAGTTGCAGCAGCAGCAGAAATAGTAGTAGTAGTAGTAGTAGTAGTAGTAGTAGTAGTAGTAGTAGTAGTAGTAGTAGTAGTAGTAGTAGTAGTAGTAGTAGTAGTAGTAGTAGTAGTAGTAGTAGTAATACTACTTTGTAATACCTACTCGTAGTCGTGGTAGTAGTAGTACTAGCACCAGCAGCAGCAGTAGAAGTAGTAGGAGTAGTAGTAATAGGAGTAGTAGGAGTAGTAGTGGCAGCAGTATCAGTAGCAGGTAGCGCTGGTGGTGATTGTTGCGGAGACAGTGAACAACACAAACGGTAGAAGAAAAGTACCATCTTGCAGCATACGTTTTGAAGGGGTATGATTGGGGGTATGATTCGGGGTATGTTTCCGGGGTATGATTCGCCAAGGTCCAACCTTCTGCCTCTTGAAGCAACTCAAGACAACAAAAAAAGACAACCCTATATGACATAAGCATATTATATAACAATCTCTCTCTCTCTCTCTCTTTCTCTGCAGCTGCGTACATTAAAACCAACTGACCCCTCTTTCTTGCTTTTTATACTTGTTTTGGCAGACAACAAGCGTCCATTTCTCCTGATACTTGCACCTGCCAACGCCTTGTCTTTTCCGCCTTTGCGGCGGAACTCGTAAATGGAAGTCCAGGCCTTTTGCAAAGCCAAGGAACAAACCGAGCACCCTGTTCTTTCTTCTTGGTTTTCAATAAATCCAAACCAAAAGTTGGAAAAAGAAGAAGAAACAACCACTCAAAAGGGTTGCAGTCGTGGGTGCTTCCGTTTGCGTTTCTTCGGTTTCCCGCTCACTCGAACGTCCGAGTCTCCGCCGGGAGTTGCTCCAGAGAGTCGACCACCAGGCCACAGCAGCTCTCTTGGAGCCACTGCAACACCGCCTCTGAGCTGCGCTTGTTGGGTGTGAATGCAGATGTGGACATGTTTTACTCTAGAAAACGGTTTCAATGCAAATGTGGACATTATTTACTCCAGAAAACGGCTTGACTGCAGTTGTGGACATCAGAAAACATGAGATATGTCCAACCTCTCAAAGGGGGTTCCATCCAAAAGAATCAGAGCCAACTGTCTCTGAAATGGACATTGGTACACGGCGAATGAAGGGGTTTTTGCTTTGGCTTTTTCGTCTAATTTGACGCACAAACAAACAAACAAACACAGCAGGTTGACATAGAATTCGTTGACCTGATTCATGTCACGAAATCACCATGAAACGTCTGCGTGCGGCAGCTTCTGCTGCTGACCTCGCAACTAAAGCAAAAGAAAAAAAGCCCTTTGAAATGCGACCGAATTTCCTGTATCCGCTAGGTAGATTCCGATCCGCTGTGCATTGTGGGGGATTGCTTCTCTTCACCACACCTTGTGCTAGAATGCCAGCCATGATCAAACTCAGCCCAACACAGCCGTTGGTTGATCTGAAGCCTTCACAACCAGTGCCCCCCAACCACAATCACTGAGGGAGCCCAGTTTGGAACATGTAAACTCGTTTCCGAGTGTTAGTAAGCGCCTTTTGAGGAAGCCCTACTCCCTTGGTCACAGGTAACCACAAGCAACTGACGCAACGTGTGTGCTAAGGGACCACCCTTTGGTTGTCAAATAGACACCTGGAGAAACAGCTATAGGAATATAGGGTTATAGGAACCCCCTACGTAGGGTCGTCAACCCCTCCCATTCTGCAGGGGGAATTTCAACTTGGTTGACGTTGGAAGGGGAGCAACAATTTAAATTTCAGCAGTTTAGTGGGGATTTCCCACTAAACCACAATAAGCAAAATGTAAAAAATGTTTCCCAACAACAACCATGTCAAGGGGGATGGTATAGCCACCCAAGTTGCCCAATGCCAAATGGTCCAAACATCAGTCTGGCCTGCTCTTGAGGCATCACGTGGTGCCGCTCAACAACCTGAAATCAGTGGGACTTTTAAGGAAAGCGTGATGCCAACCTGAGCCACTTGCTCAAAACCCGGGTAGATGAAGGTCAGTAAGGGATAATCCCAACCAAAAATGGGTGCGGATATCCGCCTTGCTCATTCTTTACATGGTTCTGGGTAGACCATTTTAATACCGATCGATTTTGATTGTGACTCACCTGCCATGGACAATCCTGGGCAATAATACATAACGATAATGCCAAGCTATCATGAAATGACTTCTGGAAAGAAATCTGCACGGCCAATTCAAGGAATCCAATTCCAAACACTAGATGTAGGACCCCTGATGGGTACGGTCCGGATTCAAAGTTGACATGCGATTGGATCCGCCAGAATGGGGCCTTGGACACCGGTTTTGCCAAGGGTGGACGGCCCCGCCCATGTCCTCCCCACACCAGAAGACCGCTCATTTTGTCAGAGTTCGCACGGTACGTGTGATGGTGTCCAACATGGTTGCCGACGAGAAGGCCAACTGGCAGTAAGCAGTAACAACAGTGGATATATTTTATTCAGCTTTTAGGCACTTCACAGGACCTCAGTCAAAAAAGGCGAGGCTGATTCAGATTCAAGAGTCGCCCAAAAGAAATCCGTTAACGCCATCCGGCTTCGGCCTTACACTTTCTGGGCACACGAAAATGATCCAGTTGGATGCCAGGGGTGAGTCATTCAGAGATGGCCTGCTTCATTTTGGAACCAATCAGCAACCACAAACCTTGGGGGGTCGTTTTTGGTCCTTGGCTGGGCAGAGTGAAGTTGTGGACCATCGCGTGCGGCAAAACCCCGATCCAGCAATCCACCATCAAACGACACCTGCTTTTCTTGTGGTTGCCAAGCACTGCGTCAATGAATTGCTCTCACCTCTGTACCGACAAAAAAAAAAACAGGCCCCATTCAAAGTCGTTTTCCTCCTGACAAATCAGTGAAAAGGTCTGCCGTTCCGCCGAATGCAATTAAGCTTGCCAACTTCCGGGTTTTGTCAACAAGCAACTGAAGGATTGTACCATGGGAATAGCAATGAGGGCACAAGAAAGCAATGCCGGCTGAGAGCCTTAACCCAAAATATGGACTCTTGGCCGTTGTTGATATATATATATATATATATATATATATGGTCACCCCCCCCATGAACTACATGTCTATCCTGTCCTACTAAAACTGTGTTTTTACTTTGTATGTTTACTGTTGTTTTTACTGTAATATATACATATATATATATATACAACACATGATATTAGAGCGATCCTAAGTTCCGCAGTGTGCTAAAATCAGCTGGTACCCGCATTCTTTCAGGTTTTCCCCTGCCACCACTCATCAAAGACTGCTACCTGAATCGACTAGCCAGCAAAATGGACACTCAGTGTTGGCCTGCACTACAAAGCCAAATAGTCCCTCCAAGCAACTGTTAGCTGTTACGAGTTCCTAACACGCCTAACATGGCCAAACAATGGAATTGTAGTGCGAGCAAGGCAGTCGGCACTCGTCTAGCAACAACAGCTGACGAACAGATCCTTTTCTCTCCAGCAGCCAAGTAGAAAGGCGAAAAGGCCCCGTTTAATCTGTTGGGTGTCAGTTTGGTAGCAGTATACTCTCTCTCTCTCTCTCTCGCGCCCGCTCCCTCTTGCTCTGAGTGTCTGTGTTGTCCGTTCCGTGTCCATGTGTCTGTGTGTCTGCGGCCAAAACAAAGGCTTACGATGTGGAAAGGAGAAGCAGGATTTTGTGCGATTTGCTTGATTTTCATTGACAACAACTCTGTAGCTGAATAAGAGGCAGGTGACAAGGAGAACAACTCCTTGCAAATGCCCCGGGGTATTGGGACTTCTCCCAAGGCCTCCATGCAAGTATCATGCAGGATATAGCAAAGAGCCTAGAGTAGTCGCACCCGCCCGCAGCTATTGTTCAACATCTTCGGACTGTCAAGGTATGCAAAGCAAAGACAAACTGGTATTAACTCTACTGGTATTAACTCATGAATACGGCTGGTATGGTCAAACCCAGCCACGGACAAATTCGTTCTTGCAGTCTTCTTACATTTCAGTAGCCCAAACTGCCAGGGATTCAGAGCATGCGCATATGGTCGTGTCTCCCGGAGCTATGCTCAGATGCCCAGTGGCCACAAAAAAGGCATCCTGTTCTTTTTGGTTGAGTTTAAATGGGGAACCATTAATTACCCAAAAAAGGAAAAGGGCAACACTGGGCCAGCAGAGTATGTTCGAACTCCCCCGTTGAAAACAAAAACAAAAAACCGTTCAGCCCTTTTCGAGTGCTCCGAGGCGCTAGCGGCACTTGACAGGCGCAGGCCTCCGCGCACACGCCAGGGCCCGCCTTGCCTAGGACACAAATGGCCTCGGCGCGGCCAAGCGGAACGAGATGGCGATCCAAATTGGACACTGCGCTCGGGTCGTCTTCTCTTAGCGGACCCGCGAACTGGTTGCTCGGTTGCGAAATCTGCTCCCCTGCTAAAAGTTTAACTTGTGGTTTAATGGAAACCTCATTACTTGGCAAAAAGTTGACGTCCTAACATCCAAGCAACATGCACCAAAGGTAGGATTCCTTTTGGTCTCCCTTAAAAACCACTGAAAGTAAAAAGGGTACCTTCAACAAAAAGACACCCTGCTGAAGCTGGTTTGGACTAGATTCGCAGGACTTGTCATGTTCAGAATTGGCTCTTAGGTCCCGATCCGATTCAAATATTTCCTGGAAGTGAAACCTCAACCAATATCCGGGTGAGTAACATAACACCAATCCCAAGTGAGGTTCCCTAGAAAACGAGTCCTAGGCAAAACGACGCTTCGCGACGCTTAGCCGCGCCTGGCGCATGTAGTCCCTTACCTTCTCCGAGGAGATGAAGCCCTCCACGACCTCAAAGCCGCACGTGCCACTGGGCGTTCCAATCGTGTCACAGTCTCTTGGTGTCCCTTTAAAACCAGCGAACAGCGGGTTCCCAGCCCATAAAATGTCCCCTCTGGCAAGAAAAGCACCCGGGAGATCAAACCCGACCGTCCCAAACGTGGAGGTTGATCACTATTCCCTTCGGCCCCCCGATTTGACCATGGGTAACTTTCCCCATTTAGTGGTTGACCATAGCAAACATTCTAGTGGTTTTTCCCAGTGGTCATCCCACGGTGCCTCTGGACCTTGTGATCAACCCCCATTCGTCCAGAATTAACGGGCAAAGCTCATTTTGCCCACCACTTGACACTGCGTTGCTACAATTTCTGGCCATGTGGGCGTGGCTCAAAATTAAACAGGGGGGGTTACGCGGGTTTTAGTCTTTGGTTCCATTTACCAGGGTTCCATATTGGTACCCTTCTTCTCGGTGGTTCTTCGACCACATCCATCTCCCTGTGCCCCAAGCCCCCCTCTTTTGGTCTCAGCGACAAGGGTTTTGTTGCATAGGTTTGCTTTCGGATGAGACATGACTGCGGCAAGGAACGTGTCGGCCGTCCGCGACTTCCAAGAAATCCTGGAGCTGCACGTAGAGCTCCTGATTCTTGCCACCTGCACGAATGTCCGCACCGACTCATGTGCACCTGAGGGACATTTTACAACCGACAAAGGAGTATGCCAAAAGAGCAGGTTGTCCCCCTGCCTACCTTTGACAGGACCAAACATGCTACTGTCAAGGCACCCGTTTTCCCTTTAAACCAGGATTGCAGACCAAGAACCATAGCCAGATCCCAGAAAGAGCTTCCACCTCTCTCAAGAGGCGGCATTCTTCGGCATTCTTGGATATGCCCATGACCAGTTGAGTGCTTCTTGTATCTGAAAGCGGGCGATCTGAGCAGCACATGAAGCCACTAGCCTGCTCCGAGGGACCCTAAACCCTGCTTCTTGTATCTGGACGGCCATTTGAGGGCGAAGATCGCCGTAGGCGATCTGGTGTTGCTGTTGGCCCCACTGGTTGCAGGGAAACCAAGGAGCAATCAAGGAGCCCTCTAGTCAGACCCTTTAATTCCGGGGAGCAGGCTTCTCTTTTCCAGTTCTGAGTTGCCTGCAGCGCCCCATCCGCAACTAAAACAGGCGCGCCAAAATCGAAACCTAGTTTTTTTCTTGTGTGGCCAACAGTGGCCTGGTTTTGACACGTCGGTGTCGGTGTTTCAGCAAGACATGCCAAACTGAAGCCAACCTAAGCTGCCCATACTTCTCTGGGCTGTCCTCAGGTCCCCTGCTAACAGTTTATCTCTTTGTGGTGGACATGGAAACCAGCACCAAACAAAAATCAAAACAAAAAAAAAAAAACAAAAAACACACACTAAACATAATAATAATAATAATAACAATAATAATAATAATAATAATAATAATAATAATAATAATAATAATAATAATAATAATCATAATAAACAACATCTAAAACTGACACCAACACCAAACCCTAACCCTAGGCTTCAACCCCCATTAAAAGAAAGGTTGACCCAATTTGGATGATGACAATCTTTAGGTAAACAATGGTGGTTATATGAGCCCCCATTGTTTTCATGGTGGTTTGAATCCCAGGGCTAAAAATACAAAACCTGGCTGGGAGGCACGAAGTTATGTTACGCATTTGATTTGACATTGGATTTGTAGAGCCTGCCATGGGAAGTTGCAGCAGCTCTCCCGCGACTGCTTCTTTCCAGCAAAAGAGAAAAACAAGTAAATGTCGTTTGCGTTCCCTGTGCTGATGGTTCAAAAGGGATCTCCGGATCTCCGGCTTCTCATTTTGGAACCAGCCAAAAGGAACGAAAGGAATATGGATGCCGGTGGACCCGTCCTGTCCAGTAGCCCTTCATAGAGTGAAGCCCTTTGAATAGGAAAACCAAACAGCAAAGGAGGGAAGTTGCCCCCCTACCCCTTTGTCCTTTGGTAGTTTCAACACAGGGTCCTGAAGGCGAGATATTCTTCTGTTTTAGGGGCATCTTAGATATAAACTCAGTTGTTCAGTGACCCCGGAAAAAAAGGGAACCCTTTTTGGGGCTTGGACCATTTTTAGTGGGCCAGCCACCAAACAAAAGCTGGAAAAAGATTTGGTGCCACTGAGCTGAGTAAACTCACTACACGTCGCTGTCTCAGGACGCCTGGGCCACTCCTCTCAGGGATCTGAGCGCGGCGCAAATGATGATGAGATCCACTTCCTCGGGCTGGGAATTCCTTCCATTTGCGAATACCCCAAATGAGAACATGAGAACATATTTCCAGTGAAATCGATTCCCTTTAAAACCAACAGGGGAAAATCACAAATACTCTGAAGCAAATGGAGGATTCCGCTCCCTTCCGAAGAAGAGAGGCCCATCCTGGACTAGCCTGGGAATCCCGGCAAGCTTCTGTGCATTGCTTGAGCATGAGACACTTGCAACACGTCCAAGGATAGGCGGTTTCAAAGTATCATCGTGTTGTTTTTTTCTGGAAGTTGCTAAGTCGGACTTTTGACCCTGTTTGAACCACAAAAATAGCATCACTGGCCCGGAAGGAAGGAGGTCATGTGCTACTTGCCCGATCCGCCACCAACTTGGCCTCAAAAAGCAGCACCAGAGGAAACAAGAACCCACACAAGTCTCCCTCAGCTGAGTCTGGCCATCCAAAACCCGCCCGTCCGTTCATCCGTCCGTTTCAAACGGTCGACCGTCCCAAACACATCCGAGGCGCCGGGTGCGTCTCTGCGCACTTCCAGGCGATCTGTGCCACGCGCGAGGGCGCGTAGCCACCAAAGGCCACCAGCAGCTTTGGCTGCGCAAGGAGGGAAAAAGGAGGGAGGGGACCGGGGACCGCACGCATGCCGTGGCCAAAGAAGCCAGTGAAAGACATGGCATGAGCCGCGTTGTAAAAGCCATCACACACAGTATACCAGGAGTCATTGCATCATAAAAAAAAATGGGTAATAACAATGTGAGAAGCCCCGCACAAGCCATGGTTTCTTCAGGCTCTGTTCAGTGGGTTATTTCACCAGGCCGGCTAAGCACTTGCCTAACGTACCCGATCGCGTCTTTGAGCAGAAATCAAAGGTAATCACCTTTTGGGGCCCAAAGAATGGAAACCAAACAGGGGAAACCACAAGGTGGAACGGTGCTTTGCGAAAGTCAAAAACAAACAACCCTCGACCTTTCAATCTCCAGCCTTTTGCACAACGGCACCAAACAAACTCCCACTGTTCTTGCATATTGTTCAACAGCATTGGGAAGCCAAAGGCATCCCCACTCACTTCCTGAGTGGATGGGCCAAAAAAAGTAAGCAAACTTCTTGTTTATCACCAAAATGCTTCCCAGAAAGTTTAAGGACTGGGAATTTAGGGAGTGAGCCCAAGAAAGGCCGAAGAAACTTCTTTAGACATCCTGAGAAGGATTTGGAGAACCTTCAGGCAGGGAAGATGCTTTCGCCGAAGAAACATGAAAGGTAAGGTGCTCTGTAGTTGGCTTATTTGCGACGGATTCCTCCTGGTGTTGGTGAATAAATCGATAAATCGAGAAACAACAACAACAAATAACAAACAAATGCGCTTAATGTAAAGGTTTGTAGATGCTTACACACATTCGACGCTTATCTCAAGAGGTGGCTTTGATGGACATACTATGTTGCACAGGTGAACAGAAGTACGAGTATGCCTGTAAATATGTATGTAGACATGTGAGCAGTGTTCTAAACCCAGTTGCGGCCGAAGAGAAATATCAACATCCCCTGCGTCGCTTCTGCAGGAACACGCAAGAAACACACAGACCGTACCGGAGTGTTGCCCTTTCGCGAAGCTTTCGCAAGCACATACATGATAAACCCCTTCTGCGGACCTTCGGCGCCCCCACGAAGTAGGAAAATTGACATTTTGAAAACAATACTTCCTCCAGAATACTGCTTTCGAATGCAGGGCTTGGAACGTCGCTCATGTGAAAACAAGGATGCGGTTCTAATTGCTTACATCAAACGCTGACATTACTTGGTACTGTTTGGACCTCATTTAAACAAACCCTATGAAACAAACTCCTTTTCCACCCGACTGCCAACATATTACTCAACAGGCAGCAACAAGTTTTGACCAAAATTGCCCCTTCAATCGACTTTTGGCAGTTTCCAGAACCCCCGCCCCCGATTTCAAGACGTCCCTTGTTTCACCCCCCACTCCAGCAATCCGCAAATCACGCAAGAATACGTTTAAATGACAAAGCTTCTGCCAATACTTTTGCCAAGGCATGCCGCTGCAAATTCCTTTTAGTCCCAAGGCGTTTTATTCCAAAATCATGAAACTTGAGCTATGCGCAACAGCAGTTCTCACTACACATCGCTTACCAAATCGAAGCTTGGCAAGCTCACAAAGGGTACACCCGTCCCTTCCGGCTGGTCCCTCAACCAACACAATCCTGAATCATCAATCTTGGAAAACAACACAAGACTGCAGTATCTTTCCCATTCCAGTCCTATGGGCCGGGAAAAAAAAAATCACAAGTGACAGGCAGCGCTGCCAGCCAGCCAGCCAGCAAGGCAAGTGAGGCACACAGGCAAGCAGGCAAACACAGATAGACAGGCAGGTAGGCAGGCAAACAAACATGCAAACAAACACACAAACAAACAAACAAACAAACAATCAAACAATCAAACAATCAAACAAACAGGACACGCAGGAGGGGACAAACAAACAAAGAAACAAACAAACAAACAAACAAACAAGCAAGCAAGCAAGCCAACATACAAAAAGCAAACAAACAAACAAACAAACAAACAAGCAAGCAAACAAACAATCAAATGGACAAAAGATACATCAATAGCAATCGATTGACAAATATTAGACGTGTATGCAGTAATGTGCATTATAGCGATTGGACAGATTGACGTCATTTGCAATCGGCCAATCA